ATTTTTTTCCATAACTCTTAATAAAGCTTGCCCCACTTTGCATATGAGAATCCTTCTCTTTGATTTTCATTTGTGTAAAACAGTGAATCGGATCCACTGTCCCAGGTCAGTCTTTGGTGACCATCGGTGGCTGGGACCTTAGGTCCTTGGCTCAGAGATTTAAGCTAAGCAGTGAAAGATCGAATTAGTCTCGTGGACCCTGCATGGGGAGCTTGGGTGTGCAGAGCTTTCTAAGGCATGCCTAGTCTGATCCCTTTGGGTGTGCTAGCTGTCTTTTGAGGTTTGTTTGCTTTTGTTTTTTGTTTTTTGTCTTTTAATATTCAAACTAATATGCACTCCGAACAACAGTAGACCCACCCACCCAGCCCCCATTCATCACTGTTTTGTTTTCTTGGTTGCTTCTTTCTTCATATGCAAATGACCATCGCCCTGGATCCAGACAGTAGGATGCTCCAGGACAGTCTTGAGAAAATAGGATACAAGGTGTGAATTGAGCAACATTCTACGTGTGTATGTATTTCTGGTCTTAGGATAATTTATTTGCAGGGGTGAAATTTCCTCTCACCTGAAATAGTTCAGCGCGGAGCGTCTCAGACAGGATGATTTGAGAAGTGGGGCAGGATAGAGAGGCATCTTACAGATAGCAGACATATTGTCTGGAGGAATCGGAAAAGATGATTTAAACTGGGGATAAGCAGGTTAAGGGAAGTAGACCTGGGAGTAGTAGTTGGGGTTTGGGGGCACGGAAAACAAGTGAAGAGCAAGCAAGCGGGATGTGGGTGGAAGCGTGCTTGCTCAGGCTCTTGAGCCTTCCGTGTTTAGTGCTCTTGGCTCTGTCTTCACAGTGGCTCCAAATGTGACAGGAGGAGATCAGTGAAAGAAAACAGAGTGATTTGTTCTCACAGCAGGGGAGGGAAGAGAGCCCGCCCCCTGCCCCTACTCCCGCCCGCCCCGTTGTGGTTTCGGGCTCCTCGGCTAGGGTGGAAGTGTCTGTAGTGGAGCCAGCGGCTATTTGCCATTCTCCTCCTGCGCCTATTTTATGGCATTTTAAGAAAATTTTATAAGCTCCAGCAGTTGCCTCTGCCCACTCTAGAAATGGAGTCAGGTCAAGAAGGCCGCCTCAGTGGGAGGATGCCTCTCAAGTCGTGGGGTTCTCTTCAGTCCTCCCAACCCCAGCCAAAGACCAAGGCGAACAATTGCCTGGGTCAAAGCATGCTCTTATGTTTCTTTGTAGTATAATTCTTTAAAAAGCATATTAAAATTGACGCATAATTGAACATATTTATGGAGTAAATAGTGACATTTCAGTACATGTTCACAACAAAAAGATGCACAGTAGTCGTGGGACCTGGAAGAGCATGGAAGGACGCAGGCCATGGCTACTGGGGTAGAGCTGGATGCTGGGTAGAAGGGCTAGCTTCTCGGGTACCTGTGGCCGGCACAGATTAACTGCATAGTCCCAATTGTCTGGTAAAGAAGGGTGGCGTTCCTAACAGGAAGGAATGTTAACTAGGTGAGGTGATGGTTTTACCAGTCGCTTCTCTCCATCTTTACGCCTCCGGCATGTCACATGACTTGCTGCACGTGTTTGTTTCACGTGCTCTGAGTAAGGTCTACAAATGTCAGGATTTTGTTACCTGAGTTTTTCATATATGTAGACTATGGCATCTATATATCTTTTTTGTCAGTGACGCCTGAGGCAAATCCGCCTCTTGCTGTTGTAAACAGCGCTGCAATAAACTTGCTAGGGATGGCATTTCTGGCACACTGACTCTCCCTGCAGGCAGAGGTCTCTGGTAGGATCACTGCATTCTATGGGGCAGAGGGTCTAGTGTTTAGAGAACTCCTGTACAGTTGTTTGTGTGACTGAGCTAAATTTACATTTCCTTCCTCAGCATAAGAGCTTCACTTTCTCTATATCCTCGTTATTTTTTATCCTTTTGATAGAAGCCAAGGCACAGGTTTTGCAATTTCCAGGAGGCCTAATCCTTAATGGATGGTATCTCAAGACACCATCAAGAAGGGTAGCATGGTATGCCTCATGGAGGCAACTGGCTGTTGTTCCATACCCAGCCACTGAGGAAGGTGAAAATGCTCAGCTCTGACCCCAGGACACTGTGGTCTTGAGCGTGGTAATTTACCAAACTGGCTCCTGCTTCCTTGATGGTTTTGGAAAAACTGCATGACTCTGGGCTGGGACATAGGGACTTTGGACTTTGAAGGCTCACAAGTGTCGGGAAAGGAATGAAACGGGTCACAGAAAAGAATGGTCTTACGTTAGAGAGGCACTGGGGCTTGCCTGGGAGTATTAAGTGTGCTTCTGTATTGGAAAGTCTTGAAACGAGACCATCATCTCAAATGCGGGTTCATGGGACTCGGGGAGCTGCTGTCTTTGGCAGAGTTGGGTGGGGGAGCCGAGGTGGAATGTATTGCTTGGCTGCCCTGCCCTCACTTCCGCCCACACTTGTCTGGCCTCACTGGCTTTCCTCTGGTGAGGCTGTCATAACTCACCTCTTCACCTGTGCAGCTACTACATTTCCATGGATGTCAGCCTAATAACCGCCGTGGTTTGAATAAAACTGACCCCTGAAGGCTTGTATATTTGAATGCTTGGGTCCCAGTTGGTGGAACTGTTTGGGAAGGATTAGGAGGTGTCACTGTGGGTAATTACGTATTGAGGTTTTGAAAGGCTCACCATCCTCAGATCGCTCTCTCTGCCTCATGGGTTTTGTCTTACGAGGTGAGCTCTGAGCTGCTGCTCCGGCACCACACCTGTCTGCCTGCTGTCATACTCCCCACCACGATCGTCATGGACTCATCCTCTGAAACTATAAGCCCTATATAAATTCTTCTGTGAATTGCCTTTGTCATGGTGTTTCTTCATCATGGCCATAGCAATAGAAAAGTAACTAAGATAATAACCCAAACAGAGTCCTTAGGATACATACTTGTTGGACTTTCTATCCTGGAATCTCCCTTCTAAGAGTCTGGTGCCTCACAGTTCCCAGTGCCCTATTAGACAATTCTGGGTAACAGAGATCTCTAAGCCCAGCTCCCTAAAGTAAGCATTTCATTGTTAATCATGGGTGGATGGCGCTCAGCTGTGACAGGTGCAGCTCTGCTGGCCCAGGGTTCTTACATAGCCGCAAACACACATGCCCTTCCCCATGACATCCGAAATGGCTTTTCTTATGTCTGGCACCTTGAGAGGGCAATGGGAGCCCAAGGCTCTTCTTGCTCATGAGGCCTTTCTCTGAGGTGGGCCTGAGTGTCCTTACAGGGTGTCTGATCTGAAGAGCAGAGGTTCAGAGAGTGAGGATGCTCACACGACGTCTGCCTTCATCCCTTTGACTAAATCCCACAGTGTGTCAGTACCATGTCAAGTGTGGGGAGGACGACAATACTGCAAAGCCCAGGGGTTCTGGTTTGGTGCAGCCCCAGGGCAAGGCTGTCGGGGGCCATTCAGAGGCCCCCTTCCCTGTTTGAAAGCATCTCTATGTGGGTACAGCTGTGGCAGCTCCATTACAGGCACTGCTAATGTACCAAGGGCTAACGAGCGGTGCTGCCGTCGAAGCGGAAACTCCAGGCTGTCCTGTGTCGCTCTTGACATGACCAGCATGAACTCCCCTTTCACCTTCTCATTCTTTACCAACATGCAGACTTCATGGAAGCCAGGCATTCCGTCCAGTGTTGGACACTCTCTGGCACCATCAAAATCACGTTGTGTTCTCTAACACTTGAGCAGAACTGTAATCCCCAGTACCGATTCTTCAAATGCTTTCAGTTCAATGGTATTCTTTCAAAGAGCCTGAAGTGTCTTTATGGTTCTGATTATATAAAACTCACTCTTCCTGTCCCACACCTCAGAAACCTCGTTCATCTTTTTCTACTCTGTTTATAGAATTCAAAGCTAGAGCATGTTATCCATGCCCCAGAGCCAGAATGAGGAGGGGATAGAGTACCTCAGCAAACCACAATGTAGGGGAGAAAGCATTTATTAATAGGGGCTTGCAGTTCCAGAGGGGACAGGGTCATCACGGTGGGAAAGGAGGGGTGTGAGGCCTCACCTGGCAGTCAGGAAGGTGACATCATACCTCATCTGCACACAAGAAGAAGAACAGGAAGTAGGGCCAGACTGTAAGTCCTCAAAGCCCGCCCCCAATGACCTGTTCCCCAAGGAAGGTTCCACCTTATGTATGTTCTATAACCTCCCAAACAGCACCCCCAGCTGGGAGCCAAGTGTTCAAACATGTGAATCTACAGGGGCATTTCACATTCAAACCACAATGGGAAGGAAGTTACTTAAGAAAGCTGACGAGCATCCATGTTCAGGAATATGCTAGGATACAGGTTGCCTGACAACCCTGAAGGCCGAGTGTGAAGGAAGGTTCTGTTATGGCTTTGCCTGTTACTAAGGATTAAGGAGGAAGCCGAAAAGGAGGCCAGAAGTAAGATGGCTCCAGCTTTCCTATACCTTTTCTGCTGACCATCGGTCTCCTGCCTCAGCGGGTCTGTTTCTGGGGGGAGTGTGCCGTGGTACTGAGCTAGGTCCACAGAGGTACACGATGCTGTGTGGAGGATATAGCCAAAGCCAAATCAGAGTCGAGCTCTTACAAACACAAGCAGGCAACACTGAGGCAAAGCAAGGGGAGGCTTCTGTGCCTGTAAATTCTCTTCCTCTTCACGCAGACTTGCTGTGTACCTTAGTCCCCGGTCCATGAAGGCTTGGCTAGCGATGCTGCAGACAGGAGTGCCTCTTCCCGCTGCTGGGGGACAAGGAAAGGCAATCTGGCCTGCCTCTTCTCTCGTAGATCTCTGAGACTTCAGGATAAGACAAGATAAATATAGAACAATACAAGACTTTACCAAGTAGACCTACAGGCTAGTACAAGTCTAACAAGTTTAACCATAGGCTATTGGTCCTAGTCTGTGAGCGTCAGCTGTGTGTTCAACTCAGGAGCAGCCAAAGACAAGATGGCGTCTACCTTAAAGCTGTCCGCATGAGGAGGCAGCCTCCTGACAGTCAATCCCAGGCCGCTGCAACAGAAGGGAGAATGGTTAGTTCAGCCCTGCCAAAGAGGGGGCCATTTCTTCCTGGAGACTTTGAGGCAAGAAAATAGTTTTCAGGCTCTCCCCTGCATCTACCCAGTGTCTCTCACGAAAGGAAGGACGAAGAAGGTTTTCCCTGCAAGGGCCTCGGAAATCTTGGAGCCGGACCTCGGGCTCTTGGCAGGGAGCAGGGTTTTCCAGAGTGGGGCTCGTCCGTGATTGAGGGACGTGCTGCAGGGCTATTTTCATGAGAGTCAAATAAAACTCTCTTGTCTCCAGGCTGCTTTGGAAGGTGTTTTCCTAATGATTTCCCCAGTCACACAGAATGGCTGTTCAGTTGCTGGAACACGTTGGGCAGCTTCCCGTCTACCCTGGCCTCTGCCTGTCTCCCGCACCCACCACTCCGCTGTTCTGGAGCCGCCTGCATTGAGTTTTGTAGATGAATGTTGGTTCTAATCCAGAAGGAAGTGCCAGGAACACAAACAGCCCAGCTACCTGGCACTTACCCGAGGGGAGGTCCGGGGCCAGCCAAACCGCTTGCATTATCTCCCCGGAACCCTTACCTAACCCTGAGAGAAGACTCAGGCACTGTGGCAGTGTCCAAGAGCATTTCAAAAGGGAAGAAAGAGCTGCCAGGAACAGGCTGGAGTCGGTCCTCTCTTGGGTACATTGGATCCGTTGCAGAAATATTTGCTTGCAGCTTGTGTTTCTGGCTAATATCTTTCTGAGCCTCTTATGAGTTTAAGATATTCTAGCTTTTAATGAAGGGGTTTCAAACATATTGGTGACCACAAGCTAAATGCCAATAACAGATGTGTGTGTGTGTGTGTGTGTGTGTGTGTGTGTGTGTGTGTGTGTGTGATTGGACCCCATGGGGGCTGTCAGTTGGATATTGTTTTCTACGGTGTCAGAGTTCCCACTGTGCGTTCCTACTCTTAAGTCTTAACCACAAGCATTCTTCACTGTTAAGTGTTTCCTGTGTGGCCCCATCTGTGCTTTGGTTGCTCTATTTTAAGTCAATTAGGAGCCATTGATTTTTAGGAGAGGGTTCAGGTTCGCAACATTAGGAGGAAGACCTGGAGATGTCTCACAATCCCTGCCTTCATCCATAGCCTGTCCATCACTGGTATCCTACACTGCACTCAACCTTGGTCACAGTAAACCCACTCTCATCACCGACACTGAGTCTGCCTTTCATGTCAGCGAAGGTGCTGTGCATTGCAGGGCTTTGGACATTTGCAAGGTGACACCATTTCTGTCACTATGTCTCATGAGGTCATCTCACTGTCCTGGGAATCCTGAGCCCTGCATATTTACCCCAGTCTCCCAAGGCCACAACCCCTCTCCCTCCCTTTCCGCATGGTTCTAATGCTTTCTGTAGCTAGTCCCTCATTTCTTTTTAGTTCTGAGTTTTATTCCATGTACCAGTTTGTTCTGTCTGTGATTAATATAAAGATATCATGCCCGCAGTCACCTTGTAGCATAAATAAAGTTGCAGTGAGTATCCCAAAGTTTTCAATTTCTTTGGAGGTGTTACTCGCTTTTGGACTCGCTTTCGTGTCCTTGAATGCTGAGACAACCAACGGGGTTGGCAAGGAATTTTCAAGAATTAATTTATGTCATGAAATGAAACTTTAAAAATACCAGCCATTGTTTTCAGCGAATATATTCCTCAGCTGCTGGTAGCTGCCAACCCTGACTAACACTCCGACTTCACACGGTTTATTCCTGTGAGGACTGCTGACTTGCTCAGGGCCTCCTGTTGCTGGGCTTCTCAGACAAGGGAGCCAGTGTCCACCACAGCTTCCTAAGGCCTCTTCCGGAAGACATTGCCTTCTGGGTAGCCCAAGCATGCTGTGTGCTGCGTGTGAAGAATGTGTGGGGATCAAATGTTCTGGAGCCACCAGAGAAGTCCTCTGGGGTTAGTTACTAATAAGAGTTTTTAAACCCCCAGCTGTCTGAGGCACAGAGAGTCGTCTTGTTGACCCTTAACCCACAACCCTGCACCTCCTGAAGCTAACATAACAACACATGGGGGCAGAGAGGTGTCTGAAACACAGTCCCTTCTGCCTGGCCCTCGTTTGTCTTGGGTGAAAGCAGAGACCCTAGAATCCATGGTGAGTTCTGAGTAATTGAGGGCTTAGTAAGTAGAATAAACCATTGGGAGAGATAAAAAAAAAACCCACAATGACACATTCATTTTGTACATATTCCTATGATGATAAGAAAGATGAAATCATTAAAATGTATTTAATCAACTAAAACTTCTCATCAGGGTTTTGCATTATGTTGTGCTTTTGTGACCAGCATGTGTTTAAGGACCTGATAGCAGGGCCCATCTATCTAAACGGAGCCTGGCTGAGGTCTTTGGGCAACAATGGCTCTAGGGCAAAAGAATCTACAGGCCATGGGGGCAAAGCCTTTGGTCTGGGTGTGACTCTGGCCCTGATTCCCCACTTCCTTCCATTCTCCTTCAATGGAAACTGAAGCCAGTAGAAAAATAACACCTAGAGGAAACTTCCTGCCTCGTGTAACATAACTGCTCTCAAAGAATCTGTAGACCTTGATGCCCAGACACAAAAACATTGATTATCAAACTGTAAATAGAGATTTTGAACAGTTGACTAACTGTTTATGTTAAATTTTAAACTTTGGGAGAGCCGAAGATGAATTCAGATGCAGTGGTAAGGAATAACGTAGATTTCATCTCCTGCCCTCCAGCTCCCCCGTGTAAGAATTTGCAAAGCTGTTGTCCAGGATCCCAGCCACGACGCTGACATCAGCACAGTGAAGACATACATAGACTACTCCTGTCTTAGTTCTTTTTCTGTGACCATGATAAAATACCCAGAAACAAGCGACTTAAGAGACAGGGTTTCTGTTGGCTCACAGTTGAAGAGATACAGTTCGTAGGGCAGGGAAGACATGAGAAGATGGGGAACGCATGGTGGCAGGACCAGAGGATGAATGGTCACATTGCAGCCACACCCAAGAAGCAGAGGGTGAACAGGAAGTGCGGCCAGGCTCTACGGTCTCAAGTCCGGACCCTGATGACCCACTTCCTCCAGCGAGGCTCCATTCCCTAAATGTCCCACAACCTCTTCAATAGCCGGGGACCGAGTGTTGAAATACACAAGCCCATGAGGGCGTTGCACCAAACCACAGTTCCACCATCACGGGGGCCCCTCCGCATGCTGTCATGCCGCTCAGCTAACTCCCCAGCACCATGCCTGGCAGCTACAGTCTGTTTCCCATTACAGTGGTTCCCGGGCCACGTATTTTTAGAAACGCTTTAGAAACATTTCTCCATTGAACACATACAGGACTAATGACTTTTATAGGGGAAGCCAGGTGTTTATTTTTAGCTTCCTGTGCTTGGCACTGCCTTGTTTTGCCCTTCCAGAAGACAGCGTGGGGTCCTGAAGTCTAAATTCTTGAGGCGTCAATATTACAGCTTTTTTTTTTTTGTCATAAAATGCCCCTGCCAGAGGCTGACAGCATTCTCTCACTTAAACTATATGACCCCCACAATGCGGGCCAGAGAGAGTCCATGGTGGTTGCATTTGGGGCTCTTGTGTCTCTGAACTAGTCACCGAGGAAAGGGTAAGGGAAGGGCCTGGAGAGATGGCTTGGTGGTTGTGAACACTTGCTGCTCTCCCAGAAGACCTGAGTTCTATCCCCAGGTGGGGAAGTTCCCAACTTCCTGCAACTCCAACCCCAGGGGATCTGATGCCTTCTTCTAGCCTCTGTGGGCACTCACATGCACATCCAAACCCCCTTTTCCATGTGTATACATAATTAAAAACAACTTACAGAAAAGGAAAGTAAAGGAAGGATTCTCCAACAGCCCGTGACTGTGAGACAGACCAGGGTTCTCTTGTCTCTCTCTGCACTGTGTCTGCTTGACTCTGTGTTGCATCCAGAGCTTTGGGATACCACATTCTGATTAGATGTTGGCACTGGAGGTCTAGAGCCTTTGTCATAGCACACAAGCCACTGTGCTCGTGGAGGAATGCCGCTCTAGTGAGACTTTGTCTCAAGGAGAAAAGAGTCGGGCCTCCTCAGACATGTGTCTAGACTTGTACCAGTTTTTCTCTGTAGACAGATAGCCTGAGCGTGTCTACTGTAGGGAAGGGAGGGACAGCCTGACAGAGGCGCTCCTGTGGGAAACTGATTTTCTGTGGATTTTTATTGATCAGAATGGCCTGTAATGGCCCTGTTCTTGGCATGAATCAGATAAACAGTGTCACAGTATTTTAATGTATAGATTAAATGGTGTGCCCTAGAAGTAGGATAATTATGGCAGGAGATTCAGAATTTCAAGCATGTTAAATTGTGCTAATTTTGATTAAAATTTTATGTAGATTATTATCATTGATAGTTTCATTTTATTTTGTCATTATTAGGGTTGATAACCAGAAAGAGTTAATGGTTAACATAAACTCCTATGTTCTGGCTGGGCAGTGATGGAAGAACTCAGATTTCTAAGCTGCTTGGCTTTCCTTTCCCTTTTCTCTGGTCCCTTCTTCCCCTGTTTTCCTCTATGACACCAACTCTACCTTGTGTGCAAACACAATTTTTAAAATAAACGTTCTGTGTGTCTGATATGATTGATAAAATTTAGTTTTCTAGTTGAGTCACGAGTAGGGTTTGGGATGGTAGACCAATGAAGAGTTTTTAGAAAGCCTTTTGCTGAGAGGAGCCTTGCGAAGCCTCTAAGCCGGATCCGCTTACACACATGCGTGTTGTTGTGCATGCCACACACACGCACAGCGCTGACAGCTTCCCTCTGCAGCAGTGGTCTGGCCTGCTTTCACTCTTTGTTGTTCACATGTTCAAGGGATCCCAGTGGCAGATCCTGATCAAAGACACACAGTGGCTCCCAGGTGAACGGTGGCCGTGCTGTGCAGTTTAGTTATCAGGGACTGATGAACTTTCGTTCCAAGGAGGCAAGCAGACTTGGTTTAGTTATCTGTTGACTCAAATGCACCAGCACAGGCCACCACTCAGCGAGACACAGCGTCTTTCTGAACGAGGAAAGAACAAGTGTGTGGGTGTGCTTTGCAGTGAGGATGTCTTGTGTTATACGGCCTGTCGCTGTAGGGTCAAGACAGTGACCTTGATGTATATATAGTTTTAGCTGCTTTCAGACTGTCTTTGTGTGCCATGTGAGAAGTTTTGCTTGGGTTTCAAAGTCCTTGGCTGAGAAATGACAATGGGACTTCCTATGATAAGATTATGCACAGATTTCTTGATGTGTGGGATGGGAGAGGAGGAAGGGTCTTACTATGTAGCATTGTCTAGCCTAAAACTCATTATGTAGACCAGGCTAACACCAAACTTGCAGAGAGCTACCTGCCTTCTGAGTCCTGGGATTAAAGGTGTGTACCACCACGTATGGCCAGAAAAGAAACATTAAAAAGAATGTCCCTGACATGGTTTGTAGATCATACTTGCTCTCTCCTACAAAGTCTCTTGCCCCCGATTAAATGTAAGGTTTCCTAACAAATAGCAATTCCCCAAATAATAAAGCAAAGTAGCTAACATAGCAGGCTATGGTGCTTAAAATCAAGTCCTCTGTCTCTTTTCTTCCCATCTCCCCACTTCCCCAGACAATCTTCCGCCATAGCAGGTGTTCTCTCTGCAGTTGGGAGGGTGAGAGGA